AATAATAGTTCTCTTTTTGCTAGTATTTTTGTTTAAACAAAAACATAATACTAAACTTTTGATATATTTTAGTTAAAAAAAATATCTCTTGAAAAATTTAAGTTTAAGCCTATTCAGTCCTCCACCTCTTCCTCCTCGACCTCTATCAACAATTCTACTACTACTCGTCAAGATTTGTTAACCCATATTGGCTCCTTACAAGATACCGTAGCCGCTGTTCAAAGTTCATTAGTCCGTTTAGAAAAGAAAACAGATAAGTTCGCAAGTAGTTCAAGCTGTCCTGGGTGTGCTTGTTTGCGTACCAAGTTGAATGATACATATACTGAGCTTAAGAAAAGAAAGTCTCAAAAAGACATACTCCAGAAGATTAAAAAACCTTGAAAAGCGTGTTTGGGAATTGGAGACAGAAAATCTTCGACTTAAGTTTATGAATAATACAAATGATAAAAATAAAAATAAGAATAAGAAGGGAGATAATAATAATAATGATAATAATAATACTGATAGTAATAATAATGAAAAAAATTAAAAAAAAAAAAATAAGAGTTGTTTTTTTTTTTTTTTTGGTTTGTGTTTTTGTTTTTTGTTTTTTTTTTGTCAATAAATTTTTCGTAAAGTTTTAATAAAAAGAAAAAGAAAAAAAAGAAAATAAGATATTGTTTTCAACTAATAACTATAGTAGGTTCCCATAGTGGTCGATCAAAGTATAATTTTAAATGAGTAGTATTAATTGCTTTTTTTAGAATTTTGTTATCCATAGAACAAAGTTTGTAGACTTCTGGGGCAATGATATCATGAATATAATAAGGACCTTTCCATTTTTCTCGAAATTTATTACCATGAACCTTAGCTTGAGCAGATCGATATAACAATACTTTATCTCCAATATGAAATGAAATTTTTTAACATGTTCGTCATGTTTTTTTTTTTGTTTTTGTTGAGCTATTTTAATATTTTGTTGAGCTTTTAACTGAACTTGCTGTAATTTATTCGTTATAAAATCAATATGAACTTGAAGTTGCTGTTCATAAGGTGGCTCCTCAGCATTATTTGTAGAATTTAATGCTAAATCTAATGGTGTAATAGCTTTTCATCTATAAAGCAATTCAAAAGATTCATATTTGGTAGTAGATTGAGAAATAGTCCGATAGGCAAATAGAGTAGCAGAAATAAAAGTATCTCATGAATCCTCATAGTCACTAACATACTTTGCTAACATAGTATACAAAGTTTTATTAAACCTTTCAGTTAATCTATTAGTTTGAGGATGATAGGCAGAAGCAAGTCAATGTTTAATTGTTATTAGTTGACAAATAGCATCAATTAGAGTATTACAAAAAAAAGAACCTTGATCAGACAATAACTCTTGAGGACATCCATGACGAGTAATAATTTCATTATAAATAAACTTGGCAATAGTAATAGCTTTTATATCAGGTATGGCTTTAGCTTCAGGCCATTTTGTTAAATATTCAGTAGCTACTACAATATATCGATTTCCATTACCTCGAACGCTTATTTTGGTTTTTTCTAATTCTTTTTCTTTTTGGTTTGCTTCCAAGTAATCCAATTTCTCAATTAATTCCTAGAGGTGATTTTTAAAGGTCCAACAATATCAATTTCTACTCAGTGAAATGGTGCTAATACTGGTAGAGGATGTAAGAGTTGATTTTGTTTTGTTCCTCCTTGTCGTTGACAAGTATCACAAGTTTGAATATAGCTTGTAATACTTTTATACATTTTAGGCTAATAGTATTTGTTTTTAGCACGATTATAAGTTCTATCAATACCAAAATGTCTAGCAAGAAGATCAGAATGTAATCCATGTAAAACAGTAAGCAGTTCAGATTCTTGAACTACATACAGTAATTTCTGTAAAGATCCTTTTGGTTTTCTATATAGTTGGTTGTTTTTAACAATATAATGTGTGGCTTGTTTTTTAAATTATTGTTGTTCCTTTAAAGTCAAATTTGGGGGTAATTCTGAAGTTGTTAGATATTTCGCAAAGTTAAAATAGAGAGTGGATTCCATTTTGGTTAGAGTGTTTGATTTTTTTCCTAGGGTGGCTTTCTAGAAAGACGAGAAAGTGCATCTATATTTGAGTGGACTCGTCCTTTGCGGTGTATAACTATATAAAGATAATCAGCTATCCATTGTATCCATTGAGTAACTCTTTGGCAAGATTAGGCTGATTTAGTAACCAACGAAGTGCTGAATGATCAGTGATAAGGTCAAAAGGTTTCATATTGTTACAAGTGGAGTAGCCTTCTTAATTTACTACCTGCAACATGGCACATAGCGACAGGGATCTCTAAAATAACAGGGTGAGATATAAAGTGGTGTGGAAGTGGAATGTTTCCTCACTAGGGCAGTTCGGTATATTCATTAGAAGAATAGAGACATGGTTTACTTTAGAGCAAAGATATATTTATTATTTATGATACAATGTCTAGATACAAAGCTATCTATAAGTATCTATTCCTATCCCTTAATTGGTAGAGATTTGCAGGCAAATTTGCCTGCATAATTACTATAAATATGTCTCTGATTTACTTT